CCCTCTTCCCGCCCCCCCCCCCCCCCCATCTTTTTTTTAATACTAGTATCTGTGGAAAAACTACCAAATTTTATGGGGAGCTCTTCTGTGGTCGGTTATAGTTGACAACAAATGTTAGCCATATGGCAATTTACTTTTTTTTTTTTTTCCCTCCTCGCCTCTGCATAGCCTCAGAATATATTCATATCAAATGAAGATAAAATAAAAATAGGTGACTTTGGGCTTGTGACCTCTGAGGCGTATAACCCTCTGACTGAAAACCGAGGAACAAAATCATACATGGCACCAGAACAGGTAATTGTCCTGCTGTATTAGCATGTCTGTTATACCCTATATTAAGTCTGTTAGACTTGCATTGTAAACTCAGTATTGGTTGTGCTCAGTCCTAATATCAGTACTAAACCAAGTTGCCTAAAGTTTCCTGGTGTGATTGTATACCAGCATAACCTCATTCTGGAGAAAGCAGCCTGCCAGTTTAGTTGTTGCAAACTACAATGTTTGAAGCTGATGCATAAGTAATACTCTTGCAAAAATAGGATGCCCACCATGAATTTCAATTTGAATGTAAGTAATCCAGGATTTCTGATAATTGTGGCATTTGAGTCTCTATTTGTACCAGATGCATTGGCATGTCTTATCTCTATAGGTCTCTAGAAGTGTTAATTTCAGTGTATTCAGTGTCACATAACAGTAATTATTTAACAGGTCTTTGGCAGAAAGGATTAAGACTAATTTGAAGATCAAGTAGTAGCTCCAGTCCTGTAGCATTTAAGTGAAATTTTCTACTGATTTCAAAATGTTTTGCCTTAAGAAGTGCTATCAAGCTGGATTTGATGGAAATAAATTGAAATGCATTCTTATGCATTTATGCCTATGTTTTGCTTGTTGTAATCTTTGTAGTTTGGAGACAGATATGGAAAAGAAGTAGATATTTATGCACTGGGATTAATTTGGTTTGAAATTCTTTCGGCACTGGCCAGTTGCCATGAGAAAACTAAGGTAGGTAATTTTTAAATTAAAAAAAAAAAAGCAAAACTAAAAAAGCAAAACCTCACGTTAAGTCATTGCTTTGCCTTGCTGCTGATGTCTCATGCTGCTTAGATGCCAGAAGGAAACTCTATATCTAAAGTACTGCCTCTGTTTATTTACACTTCCCTCTGTGATTCATTTCTGTAAGGCCTGTAAGTTTATCGCACTTCAGTTAAAATGCAGTAACTCTGGTAAAGAAATAATGTTTTTATTTTACTTATCTTCTACTGACATACAAACAGATTAAGGCTTAAGTGTGCTTAGCCATGTGCTTACATCTATGGAAAGGCTAGTCAAAGAGCTAAAAAGTATTATCCATTAAAAAACATCTCGAGTTTCTGATAAATCTTTTTGTTTGATCAGAACATTGAAAAGGATTATTTTTCTGTTTTTAGAAAACAAATCCTTAAGGGAGGGAGAGGAGACATTAGTCTCTGCCATACTCTCCTCTTTACTGCAGAGTGAAGCAAGAATAAAATTTCCATCAGGCCAAAACATCTGCAGTTTTCCAAAGTGGAAAAAAAAAGTGACTTGGAGTATGTGACTGTTTTGTTTAATTGAAAAAATGGTGCTTCAAGTAGAAATCATTAGTACTTTAAAGATAACTTCAAAGAACTGTTTTTTGTCTTTTTCTGGGTACTTTGCAGATTAATAGTGTAACAGGTTGTTTGCGCAAGCCTACCTATTTGTAGGCTGGGGATGAGGATGCTGAATGTCTTGTCTGATGTTATTATTTTGTAAGATACATGTATCTTACATAATACATGAGATATCATTGGACCTAGAAGCTCTTTAAACACATCAGCTTGCCCCTTTGCCGATGTGGAAAAACAATACCAAAGTGGTTGTTTGACTTGCAGATTCAACTTTGCTCCGTTTGGCTACCTTGTAGTATTTTCTAAGACATCGTGTTCCTGCTTGCAGCTGACTATACAGATGTGTCCCTAGTCCCATAGCTTTTAAAGTTAAAAGGGCAAGACAATTTTTTAGTCTAGCTTCCTTAAAGTAAAGCATAAAAGTCCTGTGGCTGTACAGAAATGGAGAACTCATGTGGATGGAAAGTCCTAGGATGCTCTTCAGCTGCTTCATCAGCTTAAAATAGTAATTTCGCTCAGAGCATGATAGAATCTTTTGTTATATGGTGTTGGCAAGCCCTGTTGAAAGACCATCATGCAAAAGCAAGGTTGGTGCTACGAAATGAGTAACTGGTTCATTTGATGATCATCAGCAGGTAGGATCAAAAGCCTAAAGGTATTGGTCAAGAATAGGAAAAAAGCTTGAAGTTCACGGGAGCTGTTGTTTTACTGGACATTGATTATATGGGCTTACTAAGCCAGACCAGTACAATCCAAAAATCTAGCTAATGATTCAGGCTGCATAGCTAAGTGCCCAAGAACACAATTATCTTTTTCTTCGGACACACGTTACAGTAGTTAACAGCCAAGAGGGTGATGTGGACATCTTTGTTTACCCAGAAAGCCACGTCGCGTAGGGCAAAATAGTTACCCGGAAGCAGTTTCTGAAAGCATGTAACTGTAACTATTAAGTATGTTAGTTGCTTTGAGTTCTACCTAGCACTGTTTGCAGTGACACAGAAATAAAGTGTATGTGATATAGAACAAGATAAAAGAGAGGAAGCATAGCTGCTTGGCTTGCAAATAACAAATAACATCCAAATGGTATCAAAGTAGGAAATTTAGTCTTCTCCCATCACTTTTCTATGTGATAAGGAAATATAAAAAACACTACTTTTAAATTAGTGCCAGAAAGATAATGGTTATGAAATGGAGAGTTTTGCCAGAATGAGCTCATCATTATAGTTTATGAAGCCTTTACGTTCAAAAGGGTACAACAGTTGATGACAAGACCATAAAAACAAAACAAAGTATAACCAAATGTAAAACTTCATAATTTTTACAAGTACTTTCTTTTTGAAGCTCTACCTTTTTCATAATTTGTATTTTCCTAATTACACATAACATTACTAGTTATGTGGGTTGGAATCTGGGATGCAAAATACAATCACTGAAAACATAGTGAAAATGTTACGTGACTTTCAGGTATGGAAAGATGTTAAAGAAGGTAACTTTCCAGAGGGCTTCACTGAGAAATTTGCAACAGAGGTACAGTATTTTAACCAATTACTTCAGCTGATGTCTTTATTTACTCATAAACAATAATGTATATTGATCTTTTTTTCTTGTAACTTAATTTCTTTTTCTGCAGGCATCTATGATCAAGAAGATGCTTTCAAAAGATTCCCAAAGACGACCTTCTACAACTCAAATACTTGTATTTCTTAAGTCTGTTGATAAAGACAACCCACTTAGAGCTCATACTCGCTAAATGCCATTTTAAAAGACTTGCAGAATTGCTTTGATCCATGTCTTTTGAAACTGATGAAATATTATTTCAGAAACAACAGCAAAACTTACGTCTTCTCCTTGATGCTTAGCCTTCCTGCCATTTATCATAGGTCAGGGAGCTTATTGGCTGAAATGGTCACATCACCATTCAGTCCCATCAGCTGCAGATCAAAACACTTCCCCTGGTGCACTTCTGTAAACATCTGCGTGTGTATGTTTTTAACCTGGAGCCACAGGTTGCAGATGAACTGACCTATATTCTTTAATAAGTAAAGGAACCTAGTCTGTGGCTCTCAGAAGATAAAGCTGATATAGTGCTAACTTCTGTGACAACTGCCTATATGCATGCTCTTAACATGTGCTGCATGCATTATGGGGTCACCTGCTGCTTTCTGTGAAAGTGCTGTCTTGTGGCATGTGAATCAAAATATTTTGATCTGTTCATGGTGATGTTCTTATTAGAATTAGCAGTATGCTCCCTTTAAGACCACAGGAAGTAATGTGCTGAACAGAAAGGAAAGACTAATTTTTTTAAAAAGCTAGAAATGGCTGTGGGTTACTTTTTAAAGTTCTTTAAGATATATTTTCTTCTCTCTGACCAACTGTCCAACACCTAGCACCTTCAGTGTGCTGGACTTTAAAGATATGTGTGCTTTTAAAATAAGTGTTCATTGAGAATTTAGATGTTTAACATCCAGCTTTAGGAAATCTAGTTTAAGAAGATCTGGTCTGAACAGCTGAATCATGAATTTTTTTAAATTTGTTTCTGAAAGGAATACGAAGGGTGCTGTAAAATATAGCAACTCTTTCTAGAGTTTTCCTCAGTAGTATTTAAAATGCAGAGACCACCTTAAATATAGGTACTGCTAGCTTTTAATCGTCATTATAATACCAAAGCATGTCTAACATGTTCTAACAAGTGTTCTGAACACCTCTGACGGTCCTTTTCTCATCCCCACAAGAGGTAACAATGCAGTTTGCCTGTTACTCTTTAGTTACAGACTTCAAAGAGTTCTGACCTGGCTGAATAGGAAGAATTGGGCCCCTGGCGTGGGGGAGGAGGCTGGGGAACAGGGAGAAAAGAGAGACAAAGTACCCCTAAATACTTGTCTGAGGTGTATTTTTTTCAAACCATTCCCAGCTGTGGAGCCCCTGTAATTTCATAAGAGGCAGGCAAGCAGAGATTTCTAAGCAGGAAAATAGTTAATGAATGATGTGTAGAGCTTAAAATAGTGTCTGATTGGTTTGAAATGGGAAAAAAAAAGGGTGTTTGGTTAAAAGGAATAATAGATATGCCTGCATAATCATTTTTACACTCTTAAGGAAATCTACTGCTGATCTTCTGCAAGTGTTTGTCACTAAATAACCATCTGATGTTCTTTTGTCACATCTTTCTGTAACAAGTAAAGTTTTCTTTCTTTTTCTTGTAATGACTGTTATTTTTTCTTCACAAATACATACACTGCTATTTTAGACTACTATTAATTTCCTGGCATCCCTCTCCCCTGGCAGGGAGAAATGATACCATGATACAGACAAAACACCACGTGTTTGACTTCCTACTCCTTTTCCACCCCCTCAAAACTACTCTTATACTATGAAAACTGGTATATGGCAAACTTTAGCTGAATATCCTTTACAGTTCATGGGCAGAGTGCCCATAAAACAAACAGCATTACTTTTTACTACTAAATAATGTTGAACGTGGCCCAACACTATGATAGATTTACTCTGTAGTAATTGCATACTTCAGTACCTTTTATTAGTGGTGTTTACAGTAGCAGTTACTGTTCTATAAGAACAAAAAAAAAAAATCTATTACTAGATAATGGGGTATGTTAAATATATTAATATATATTTTCTTAGCTCTACAAAATATCCACCTTTAATTAAAGATAATATCAGTTCAAATAATGCCACTGTAATATTTCACAAGCTTTTTTCACTGGGTATAAGATGATAAGAAAAAATAAACTCAGTTACAACACAGATGTACAACCATTCTTTTAAAGATACAAAAACACTTGTTTAACACACTATAAACAGAGTAACTAGTTAATAGTTATCCCCTCATTTAAACCTGAATTTTATTATCAGCTCAAGACAGGGCTTAAGTGAAGACTGTAGAAGTCTTACCTGCCTCTAAATTACAGTAGTGCAAATATAAACGTAAAGTTGTAATTCCTATTAAATTGTTAATCAAGCAGAAAATGCATAGAATGCTTCAGAAATGTGCAGTTTAACCCGTCAACATTTCTCCTCTTCTGCATGCTTTGTATGAATTCATACAGAGTCTGGCATAGTACTCCATCTTTTTTAAAAAAAGTTATGGACTATACATATTTATCTAGGATTCCTTTCTTTAGGACGACTTTAGTCATGGTCTGCAGCACTGTCTCCAGGGCAGTTTGAAGATAAATCTTCAGAATCTACAGAGTAAGCAGAGAAAAGTCAATGATGCCAGCTAGGAGGGGGCAATAAAAAACTCAGAAGTTATTTGCAGAATCTGTAAAAACAAATCAAAAAAATTAATGAAGGTGTGCAAGTCTGACAGCGGGGTTACTTGCTTTACGAATTCCAAAGTATACTTTAAAACGATGAAAGCAAATGAATTTAATTCTGTCCTCTTTGGTGCAACGAGAACAGATATACTCTCACACAATGTTAATGTAGGATAGTTTTCATCTCTCCCACAGCATGTGTTGGGCTGGATGAGGGCTGAGCACACAATCAGAGTACAATATGAGAACTTCTAAGCCAGCTAGCAGAACAGAAAACAAAGCGTCTCTTAGGAAAACATCTCTGACAAAGTTAAAGCTATCCAGTACCCTTCCGGCTTAAGTAAAGGAAAGATAGTTAGGGAAACTGGGTCAGACCCCTCATCAAATAGTTGATGCTCTCTGATTCCAGACCTCAGAAAAGGAGAAGTGACTGAATAGAACAAATTAAATAAAAAAAGACGTGCAGGGATATTGTCTACAGCACTCTCCCTGGTGAAGGCATGACAGGCTAAAGAATATGTATCTAGACTCAAATAGTAGGATATATACTCAGCCAAAACAAAACATTTATATACCTGAAAGGTTTACTCTCACCTTCATAGGTTATTCCACACCAAATGCAGTAAAAATGTTCTCCTCTCAAATAAGCGGTCAGGATCTGTAACTTTTCTGATACCTAGAGGAATGTACAGGGATGCAAGGGTCAGGTGCTCATGACATAAAAGGGTTTGAGCTATTGGCTTTCCTGAAGTACACTGTTCACCCTTTTGCTATGGAAAAGTTACGCGATACTGCAGCTTAGTAAGGCATAAGATCCCCAAATTGTAGCCTACAGCACAGTAATCCGTGAAGTCTGGAAAGCCGATGACTTGTTAGCTCATCCTTGTTTCCCACTAAGAAATTTGCACTGAAGAGACAGCTAAAAATATGACTTAGGTGTTTTATTTCAAGTATGTGGTATTTTTTGTGGATTTTTTCGTATCCGATCTCCTCTGCAAATCAAACATATACAACTGAACAACAGTGGTGTGATCTAGTTCCTGTAAAAACTGGATTTCCAGTGTCCAATTTGAGATTACTGCTGAAGCAATTTCGGAAATTACTTAGTGTTTCTAAAATTCAGCCTAAGACATGAGGCATCCAAAATTAAAACTTCAAAGCAAATGATTTTGCATTCATCAAATAAATGATTTTGCAAGATCTTGGCTAAAACAAAAGTGTTTAGAAATTGATTTCTAGAGTACTTTTTTAAAGATCGGCTTCAAAACAGATTACCAATAAATCAGTGTTCTAAAGTTCTTTTACAACAATTATATGAAATATAAAAGTGTTTGTTGCAAGATTGCAGAGAAGCCATTCTGAATCAAGCCATTCATTTAGTTGCAGAACTTACACTCAAGTCTGAACTTGTGCATTCATCTTCCTTGTCTTCATCCTTTTTTTCTTCCTCTTCAGGTTCTGTCCAATACCAAATCTCCTTGGGAACATCAATATCCTTAATAACGAAAGATTTAACGGAAAGTTATCTGCTTCTGTAGTTTTTCCTATAAGATACCGGATAAAATCAATTTCTAGTAGGTGAGATATTAGGTTTTAAAACTTTCTTATAAACTATAATCAACAATTATTAAAGTTGTAGTAGACAACTAAGCACAGCAGTACGCAGAAAGGATTATTAACTTTTTCTTTTAACAAATATAAATGCAGGCTACAATGAACTTTTATTCCATCGATGTTCAGTATGTGTAAGGTTACACAGCAACATGATCTCACACCAAGGCCTTTTCTAGATGTGTTTTTATCCACCGAGGACGTGCCACCTGAAGTTCTTATATCAAGAGATCACACAGCGCTTCCCAATTCACGTCAGATTAAGTTAACTTAAAGGAAGAAGACCCAACAAAGATGATTTAAGCTAATACAGCTGACTTTCCTTGAAACAGACTAGGGGGTATCATACAATCTCAGCAGAACTCTGGGGCAATATCAACCTCCAATAGGGTCATGAAAGTGAAAAGAAGACTTAAAATCTTCCAAGCAGCAAAGCTTTAAACTACTTCACCCTTATTACTCACCTTATTCCTAGCAGGCAGAAAGTTTTTTTTTTTTTTTAAAAGCTTTTAGAAGTGTTTTTAAAAAGTGTTTTTTGAATCTGCTTATGCCCTAGACCATGATGTTGCTCCCTCATTTGAGGGAACAGCACTGCCATTTAGGACAGCCTGACATTGCTTTTGTGCTGTTTTCATACCTTGCAGTTGGCAACCACAAGAATTGCAATCCACAGGAGCAATCGCATGTGAGCTCTGATGACCCCAAAGAGCATGGGTACTCACATAACTTACCGTAATGGCTGGTTTCCCAAAAACCTTCAAAGAGCTTAACGGTGACAACATACACTTTGAGGCATTTTGAGAATACTGATGTGTAGCAGACTTTGTGACTTCAGCCTAGTTATCCCACCATTTTACAGAACTTTCAAGAACGGAATCACTACTTTGTTGATAGCCTCTATCTCTACCTGTAGCATTCCTTCCAGTCCAAAGAAATATATTTGCCTTACCTTTTGCATATCCAACTGCTGGCAGGCCCTCTGGCTTTTTCGAAGGTCTCCTTCCATCTTACGTTCTTCTTGCTTGTTTTTGAATCTTATTCTGTTAAGAAAAAGCAAATAGCTAAAACGAGCAGGTAAACAAACAGTGAGATGCATTACAGTCATAGGTTTTTCAAAATAGAAAATCTGTTAAGATATTAGCCATACAATTCCCTCAGAACCACTGAAAGCAGACCAGAGAAGACAATCCTAACCAGGACTATGCTGAAGTTGAGAAGTCCCTCCTGACATTGTTTCTGTGGGAGTATGCACATATTTCTTAAGAGTGATACCTTTAAATTATTATATTTTTAGGATAGACCTCTTGATCACACTCCACCCCCTGAATGCTGTTTCTCCACCAGGTTTCCACAAGACAGGAAAAAGTGGTAATGAAGCATCTGCAAAAAAATATAGCCTTGCCTGGCTTTTTCTTCTCTACATGTAAAAAAGTAAATCAAGAAAAAATAAAAAACAAAGCCCAAAACATTTGCCCTGATTTTTAATTGGCTGTAAATGAAAATCACTGTGGTAACCCTGTACCGGTGGATTTTATCTTCAAAAAGCTGATGCGTTTCTCTGATTTTAAAAAGTTGCAAATGCTTTCTCTGAGATAAATGAGTATTTATACTGTGCATTCACTTTTAATATTACAGTGTTCTTCTGCTGTTGCTTTAGAACTGAGAAGCAATTATTGTATGTTTCAACTCCTTCTCTATCCCTCATTCAAACAACATTCAGAATTAGTAACACACTGAAAGAACAATTAAACCTAAAGCCTAAAAAGAATGGCGTTATAGCCATTGCTTGGAATATTAATTACATCATTTTACCGGAACTGATCTGCAGCCTGCTCATTTGCTTTCTTTTTCATATGGAGTTTTTGTCTGTAGTTTTCTAGTTTTTCTTCGGCTTTTCGCTTTTTGAATTCCTCATGACCAAGCCCGCTTCTGCCTGTGTAAGTTCAGAATATGAATGTAAGCAGCTGAGAAGCTCCGATATCCAACTAAGTAAACTAGGAAGTATCACACACCTGTTTTTATGTTCAGAGGAATAGGTTCAACAATGCCTTCTCCTGTGGGGAGCAAAATAGGCAAGTTAAGAAATCAGGTCTCTCTCAAACCACGAATGCAGTATATTCAAGTAGACAAGCTGCTTTTATCATTAAACTTCTAAGTTTTCTTGACATTTTGTTGTTTGGAAATTGAAAAATCTCATATCAATTATACATTTAGTCCAACAGAAATCTAGTGCATTGCAAATCCCTTCTTTTTTTTCCCCTTGCCTCTTTGATTGCTGTATGCTGTTTACAGAACGGTACCAAATTGAAAGAAAATGGCATTGATTTGACATGTATAACATAGCAGTGATGAACAATAATTCATTGCTACATTCCTCTGTAGCATTTTTTATGCTTGAATCTCAGAACTTGACAAACATCAAGAATGTAAAGAATCTGTCCGGGTCAGTTTATTTCCTATTCGTCTGCTAGAGATGCATTAAAATGGCCCAGTTACAGATACTGTGTTTTTAATGATTTTCTTATTTCTTTTACTGAAGCTTCATAACAGTAGGCCGGTGTATACCTTTTTTTCAGAAGCCAACTATAAATTCAAATGCTGGGGGTGATTTTTTTTT